AAAAAGGCCAGGTGCAGTGGCTCAGTCTGTAATCCCAAAACTTTGGGAGACTGAGGTGAGAGGACTGCCTGAGCCCAGGGGTTTGAGACCAGCCCGGGCAACTTGGTGAGACTTGTCTCTACAGTAGTTCAAGAAAATAAGCCAGGTGTGGTAGCACGCACCTGTAGTTCCAGTTACCTGGAAGGCTGAGGCAGAAGAATCACCTAAGCCCAGCAAGTGGAGGCTGCAGTGGCCATGAGCATGCAACTGTGAGGCTGCAGTGGCCGTGAGCATGCCACTGCACTCCAACCTGGGCAACAGAGTGAGACTCCAACTCAAACAAAAACAAAAACAAAAACAAAAACCACAAATCCCTCCCTTTACACAAACACCTACATGTTGACAGAGTACTTTCTGCAGACATTATGTCACTGAATTTTCACAACAACCCTGGACTTGGATGTCGTTATTCCCAAAGGACAGACGAGAAAACAGGTTTAGAGAAGTGAAACAATTTGCCTGAGGTCTGAGAGTGAGTAAGAGGGAGAGCTCAGGTCCCAAGACTAAATTGTCAAAAACCTGTATCTCCCACAGTTTAAGAGATGGGCTGTTAGGAAAGTTGCATGCCTTCTTTGAGCCTCAGCTTCCTTATCTGTAAAATGGGCATAATAACAGACTCTAGGTCATGGGGTTTTTATGAGGATTCAATGAGCTAATTCACGTGAGGTGGGTGTGTACAACGGTCACGGGCAGGCTGTAATACTGAATAATATTTGCTCTCATTGTTGTTCTTAGGTTAGAGATTCAGGAGATAGTTAAACTCCTAAAATCATTCAGAAAATTTTGTGGTTCTGTATATTTTCGCTAGAAAGAGAATCCTCAGCTTTTCACTAATTTTCCAAAGGTTCTGTGATTCAAAACTTTCTCAGAACCACTGAGCAAGAGAGATAGCAGGAATATGTTCAGTATTAAACACAATTACATAAACTTGCTCCCCCAACACCCCTATATTCAGAACTAAAGGATGTGGACAAAACCAAGAAAGCCAGTGCGCGAACTCAAAGCAGTATGACAAAGTGGTTAAGTGCACCAACACTCAGTTGGCTCAAGTCTTGGCCCTGTTATTTATTAGGGGTGACAAGAGCCCCTACATCACGCCACTCTTCTGAAGAGCAGAGACCATGGAGGTGAAACACATAGGCAAAGAGCAGATGCTGAAACACATTTAGCTCTATTCTCCCACCAGTTTCTTATTCTTGCCAGCAACAGCCTGTCTGGAATTCTATAACCTTTCCTCCTTGTCTCCTTCCAAATTCACAGGCTAGGATGTGCATTGGGTGAAAGCATGTACAAAAAGCACTCAAAAAGAATCCAGCCAGCATTCCACAACAGGATAGATTGGACACTTCGTTTTCCATCCCTACACTTCCATCTCTCCCTCTTTTTCTTTTTTTTTTTTTGAGTAGGAGTCTCACTCTTGTCACCCAGGCTGGAGTGCAGTGGCACGCTCACGGCTTCGACCTGCTGGGTTCAGGCAATCCTTCCACCTCAACCTTCCAAGTAGCTAGAACTACAGGTATGTGCCACCACATCCAGCTAATTACTTTGATTTATTGTAGAGACAAGGTGTCGCCAAGTTGCCCAGGTTGGTGTTGAAGTCCTGGGCTCAAGCAATCCTCTCACCTCTGCCTCCCAAAGTGCAGGAATTACAGGTGTGAGCCATAGCGCCCAGCCCCATTTCTACCTCTTTTTATTATTTTTTTATTTTTATTTTTATTTTTTTTTGAGTTGGAGTCTCACTCTGTCACCCAGACTGGAGTGCAGTGGCCACTCTTGGCCACCGCAGCCTCAACCTGCTGGGCTCCGGCGATCCTTCCACCTCAGCCTTCCGAGTAGCTGGAACTACAGGCATGCACTACCACGCTTGGCTAATTTTTTGATTCATTGTAGAGATGAGATCTCGCCAAGTTTCCCAGACAGGTCTCAAACCGGCAGCTTCAGGCAATCCACTCACCTCAGCCTCCCAAAGGCGTGGGATTACATGCTGAGCCACGGAGCCCGGCTTTCCCCCTCTCTTTAAATGGAGTTGATCGGCTTAGATGATCTCCCTGAACACCTTACAGCCCTGAACCCACTGACTTTAGGAGGTGGGATACATGGCAATGATTCACTCTGCTTCAGCTGAGAAAGTAGAAGCAACTACCGGGGCCACACACCGATTCCTGTGGTCATTCTGGGCCTACTCCTTGGGTCTACCTTCCCTTCTGTTTAAGGGCACTGGATTATGCTACCCATTTTCCAGGTAAGGTAGCTGAGGTCCAGAAAAGAAAGTGCCGCAATCCACTGCCACTTAGCTCAGGAGCAGAATCTGGACCCTGAGACTCCAGACTCCTAGTCAGGAGGAGGTGGGGGGGGCAGCAGGATCACCTGTAGGACCACAGAGATGGTCTTCTCGCCTGCCTTGGCTGCCCGCCATTTTCGGTAAGTGTCCGCCTTGAGAAGGTTTTCTGCACAGTGGGTCTGGAAATAAGAGTGGGAGAGGAGAATTAGGACACAGATGAGATCTAGGCCTCCAGCTTCAGACTCTTCCTTCAAGTCCTCCCAAGCCCTGTGCTATCCCCCAGATTTAAGCTCTGCCCTTAATCTCCCCACACTCTGCAGTGAGTTTCCCCCAAACTTTTTTTTTAGTTGGAGTCTCACTCTGTCGCCCAGACTGGAGTTCAGTGACATGAACAGCCACCACAGCCTTGACCTGCTGGGCTCAGGCGATCCTTCCACCTCAGCCTCCCGAGTAGCAGGGACTACAGACAGGCACCACCACGCCCAGCTAATGATTTATTGTAGAGACGAGAACTCGCCAAGTTGCCCAGGATGGTCTCAAACCCCTAGTCTCAGGCAATCCTCTTGCCTCCGCCTCCCAAAGTGCTGGGATCACAGGCACGAACCACCGCTCCCAGCAGTATCCCTGACACTTTCCCCTGACGTTCGTCTATGGCTATGGGCTCTCCGAAGAGGCTCGCCTAGTCCTCCTTTTCTCTCCGGAAGTGCCACGGACGCCGGAAGTTCTCTAATTCCACATTTCTCCAGAATTCCATTTTAGCCTCCCGGAAATGCCCCCTTCTTGGACTTCCACGAAGAACCCCAAAAGTTCTCTTAGAGCTCCCTTCATTAATTCCTGCGCGTCTTCCAACCTCCCCCAGGAAGGTCCCTCACCGAGTCCTGGCTGCTACAGGACACGACGTGGCGGAGGCGGATCTCCGGCATGTCAACGTCGTGGCCTGCGCCTGGCCCGAAGGATGAGGAAGGGTCCGGAATTGGGGGGGCGGGGAGGGGGCGCTGCCTGCGCGGGTTTCAGTGCGCAAGCGCGCGAGGCTCGGGCCTTTCAAACCGCGGCGCGCCGGCGCTCGCGTCAACACTGCGCATGCCCAGTAGAGCTTCTCCAGAGCCCGGGGGGATGCGTTGCCTAGCAACGAGCTTTTTTCCTCCAGCCCCACCTCTCTCTGACCCCGCCACTCTCTAGCCCCGCCCCCTGATGACGTCCCCACTCTTGGCGGCTTTCTGGGCACCTGGCAACAGGAGCGGCCTCCATGATTGGGGCCTAGAAGAAAATCGCTGCTCTCATTGGACGACGGAGTCCCCGCCCACACCGAAGCCTAGAAAGCAGGGAAATGGGTAAGTCGGAGTGAATTTTATCAGGAAACCCGGATCTCACCGCAGGGGGACTTCTCCCACTGGCTCTAGCGGCTGCACTCTTGCCCTCCCCCTGGCACGCACGCGCGCGCACGCACACACACACACACACACACACACACACACACACACACGGAACAAAATCTCAGACGTCTCAGCCTTCTGCTTGCACGCACGCGCACACACACACACACACACACACAAGGAACAAAATCTCAGACGTCTCAGCCTTCGGCTTGAGGCCAAGAGCGAGTGGGTCAAGGTCCTAAATAAAACACAAAGCATGCGCCCAAACCACGCACGCACACCACCACCCTAGAGGGCTTCCACGAGTGCCTCAGTTTCTCAGTATGGACATCTGTCTCCTGCCACGCCTGCCTCTGGCCGCTAACAGACAACCTTCTGTTTGGTCCCCTCGAGACCCAGGGGTGCAACCCTGGGCGGGTCGGAGCTGGAGACAGCCCAAACATGGAAGAAGGAGTGCGAGCCTAGCCCGCGAAGAAAAGTGAAGGCGACTAGGCGCCCGGCCCCCACACGAGGACGAGCCTGGGCATGCTGGGCGCTCCCAGGTAGGGCCCCACCTACGCCGGGCGCCTCCTTGGGAAGAGAGAAGAGGGAACCCAGTCCTCGCAGCTCCTGGGAACCCAGTGACCCGACTCTGACCCTGGTCTTCCAGCAAACAAACAAAATAGGCGGTGGGAAGGTGAGAAAAATCAAGGAAGTGACCTTTTAGGTCCTGATGGAAGAGGGGGCTGAAGTCCAGACTCCTGGGACCCTGTGGAGGAGGCAGCTGACCACAAGATGCCCAGGTTTCTTTTGGGTTCTGTTTCCGCCTCCCCAACCCGGAGGCCACAGAGGACTGCCCTGGGTTCTGGACCCGCCCCTCCTCAGCTTCTTATAAGGGCTGGGGACCCAGGACAGCAGGTTCACTCACCATGTGGCACTCCCCAAGACCTGGGACCTTTCTGCTGGCATTCATGTTGATCTGCGCCCTTCCAGGTCTCGGTAAGTGAAAAGGGACCTGGACACCTTTCTGGGAATTCAGGAAAGAGGACTGTGCGAGAGCATTCAGCAAGGACTTTGGGGGCAATGGGGAGGCGTCCTGGGAATTCAGATTCTTGGAGGAAGCGGAGGGTAAAGGAAGAGAAAGCCTGGGTTTCCCAAAAGAGAGCAGCTCATGTGACTGGATCCCAGACAGAGGGGTTTGGTGGCTCTGAATCCTCTGGCTCCCAGACAGGGTCCCAAAACGAGACATCTGAGTTCTAGGAAATCAGATAGGAGCATACTTAGAAAAGGAAATCTTCATTTAAAAAAAATACAGACAGCAGATGCTCTTGCTGTTGTCCTGCCCGTTGTGTCCCTCACAACTTATCTTTCCTTTAATAAATCTACCTTTCCTAGTTCAAATACATATATGAGAGAGACAGGCATGGTGGCTCAAGGCTGTAATCCCAGCACTTTGGGAGGTCAAGGCAAGAGGACTGCCTGAGCCCACGGGTTCGAGACCAGCCTGGGAACTTGGCAAGACCTCATCTCTACAATTTTTTTTTTTTTTTGAGTTGGAGTCTCACTCTGTCACCCATACTGGAGTGCAGTGGCTGCTCCCGGCCACCGCAGGCTTAACCTGCTGGGCTCCGGCGATCCTTCTGCCTCAGCCTTCCGAGTAGCCAGAATTACAGGCGCGCGCTACCACACCCAGCTAATTTTTTGATTTATTGTAGAGATGAGGTCTCGCCTGCCGAGGCGGGTCTCGAACCCGCGGGCTCAGGCAATCCACTCACCTCAGCCTCCCAAAGGCGTGGGATTACAGGCTGAGCCACCGAGCCCGGCTCATCTCTACAATTTAAAAAAAATTAGCTAGGCATGGTGCTACACACCTGTAGTTCTAGCTACTTGGAAGACTGAAGGATTGCTTGAACACAGGATTTGGAGGCTGTGGTATGGCGTGAACATGCCCCTGCACTCCAGGCTGGGTGGCAGAGTGAGAATCCGATTCAAAAAAAAAGGAGAGAGATTTATTTTCTCCTTAGACTCTAAGGAATTCAGGCCCCAGTACCCTCTCCTCTCTTGGACACAGGAGTCCCAGAAAGCCTTACTTTCCCCAGACCTAGGAGTTCATGCCCTCAGCCCTCGGGATCCTTACTCTCTCTCCTTGACCTGGGATGCAGACCCCAGCTGCAGGTAACCCTGCCTGAGCTCCTGTGTTTACAGAACCTATGTGGCCCCTGCAAGGACAGAAGTCCCATATTTAAGAACCAGCTGGGTCAGGCGCGGTGGCTCATGCCTTTAATCCCAGCACTTTGGGAGGATAAGGCAAGAGGATTACCTGAGCCCAGGGTTCGAGACCAGTCTGGGCAACATGGTGAGACCTCGTCTCTACATAAAAAAATTAGCTGGGCATGGTGGCACATGCCTGTAGTTCCAGCTACTTGGAAGGCTAAAGTGGAAGGATTGCCTGAATCCAGCAGGATGAGGCTGCCGTGGCCATGAGTGGCCACTGCACTCCAGCCTGGACTACAGAGTGAGACTCTGACTCAAAAAAAAACAAAAACAAAAACAAACCAGCTGGACCTGAAGTTTCACAGAAGTCCATGGAAATCCTTCCCACGACCGCTCCCTGCCCAGAAGCTTTCTCGAAGGACCCTGGCGTCCAAAGTCCCCAACCTTATAATTAGGTACACAGGCTTCGTGGTGGAGTTGCTTCCCTGCCCTGGAAGCCACTTTGCGGGCATCACCACCTTGACAAACTCAGGACAGTTCCCTGCGCGGGGGTCAATACCCCACCCACAACAAACCAGGGAGATGCAAGTCCTCCTCCCTCGGAACCCAAAAGCCCTCCTCCTTTGCCCCCATGGCCCTGGACTCCAACATGGAAGTCATGGTCTGAACCACACCGCCCATGACCACAGCCCTGCTCTCTACACTGCAGGGTGCCCACTAAGCTGTGAGGTGTGTAGGGGCTCCGGGCCCACGTGCAGCGGAAAAATGAGGACCTGCGAGACCGGCAAGGACGCATGCGTGGTGCTCGTGGGGGAGTCCAGCTCAAGTATGAGGGGCGCGGTGCCTCCAACGTGGAAGATACCACCACGGGGGGGGGGTGTCACACGGTTCTCAGGATGGATGGGGTGTGGGAAGAAATCAGAGGGGGGCAGGAAAGAGGGAAAGACTATCATGAGTTGGAGGAAAGATAATGAAATGGTGCGACAGGAACCGTTGTTGGGCGGGCATGGTGGCTCACACCTGTGATCCCAGCACTTTGGGAGGCTGAGGCAAGAGGGTGGCTTAAGGCCAGGAGTTGAGACCAGCCTGGGCATCATAGGGAGATCCCGTCTCTACTTACTTAAATATTTTTTTTTAAAAAAGAAAGAAAGAAAAAGGAACCATTGTCTTCAAAGATTCTGAAATGTCCACATGAGGAGAATGGGGTAAGGGTGAGAGAGGAGACACTTCCCTATGTAGGAGCCTAGTGAGGAAAGACAGTGGGGGTTAACAGAGGAAAGGAATCTAATAGGCAGGGGGACAGGGGGACGACGGGGAGAGGGTTCGAGGAGGAAGAGGAGGAGGAGGAGGAGTAGAAGGAGGAGGAGGAGGAGGAGCAGGCTGGGGAGGCGGCGGGGCTGGACTGACTGGGCAACGTGGTGGGGAAGTCACCTTTCCTGGCCCGAAGAGAGATGATGTTGGGGTGGGGGAGCAACAGAAGACTGGAGAGGGAAGATAGCCCCAAAGCGTGGAGCAAAAGAAAACTGGGGGTGGGTGGGGAAGGCCGAGGAGCAAGACAGGAGAGAGAAGAGGGGCAGGACTTACACGAGAAAGACATCCCAGACCTCGTGGCAGCGAGGGGGTCCTGAGAGGGACCTCTTGCGGGGCGGGCTTGCGCTTGCGAAGTTGCTGGAGGGGAGACACTGGGCCAGGGGAGAGCTAGGGTTGGAGGCCGTGGCCGCGAAGGGCGACTCTGCCCGGGGAAGAAACCCTCGATGGGAGGGGCGTGAAAGGAAGGCGGGCGGGCGAGGGTGCCGCCGTCCCACCCAGCGGGCGCCGGTGGGCGAGGAAGGACCGGAAGGTTTGGTGGGCCCCGGGGAGGGCGAGCAGAAGCTGCGGAAAGAGGGGCAACCCCTGGACTGGGTTGGAAGAGACCACCACGGGGAAGGGGGGAGGTGGCAGGGAGAAGAAGAGACCACCGGATACAAGGCTTGGGGACAGCCAAAGGGACAGCAGGAGGCTGTGGACGGGTGGTCTGAGGAGTGGCCGGGGAAGAATCTGAGAGGGATAGGAGTTGGGGGGCAGGAGGAGGAGCATCCTGGGGTTGGTTGGGGGAGACGACGGAGGGGGGATGTGGAGGGACAAAGTAGCTAAGGCTGGAAGGGATCACTTCACACCGGCAGGGGGTGGCAGGGGGTGGCCGGGGGTGGCCAGGGGTGGCCTGAAAAAGACCACTGCGGGCAGGACAGAGAGAAGGATGGCGCGGGCCGAAGGGACCACATCGGGCAGGCATTTGGGTTGCCCTGAGGTAAGAGACCCCCAGGGGCCGGCCACAGGGGAGTGGGCTCCTAATAAACCACCCCAGGCCGATTAGGGGGCGTGGCTTCAGGGGACTGAAAGAGACCACCCAGGGAAGTTGCCAGACTGGGCCGGGGTGGGGGTGGGTGTAGGATTAGGAGAAACCTCGAGGCAGGGGTCCAGGCCAGTGTCGCCCAGTGCCCGCCCCTCCTGTCCCCCCACCCCGCAGAGGGCCACCAGTCGGTGAACACCTACAAGGCCTGCATGAAGTTCAGCGACTGCTACTCGGGTTTTGTGTCCACCACCATGAGCCCCAAAGACTACATGGTGTCCAACGCGCACTGCTGCCAGAGCGACGGCTGCAACCGCGGCTCCGTGCCCCGTGAGTGCCCGCCCGGCTCGCCACTGCCCCGCACGGCCACACCGGGCAAACCCTTGCCTGCTCTGAGCTCCAGTCTCTTGACCTGTAAAACGTAGCTCCCGCTAACAGCCCCGGTGCTTCTCAGGGTTGTTGGGAGGTTGCGGGGAAGGGCTTAGGCGTCCCCCTTCACCTCCTGCTCCATCCTCCTCCTCAGCTCCCCAGAACAATCGGACTGAGAACGGCCTGCTGTGTCCCTCCTGCATCGCGCCCTTCCAGGAGACGTGCCCAGGGACCCAGGCCGCCCGCTGCGTTGGCCAGGAAACCCACTGCATCTACTTTGCTGGCAACGTGCAGGCTGGTGAGGCGTGCCTGGATCTCCGTAGGAGGGGACAGGGGGCCCAGAACTAGAAGCCCAAACTTCCAGGCTCCAGGGGAGGTGGGGCCTCTACAGAGAAGTGGGTGAGGAGGTGGGGGAGGGGCGGGATTCCTGGGTCATCAGGAAGGGGTGTGGTTCCTGGTAACAGTCTGAAACCCTCCTTCCAGGTATCATCAACGCCAAATTTGCCACTCGGGGCTGCGCTACGGAGAGTGCCTGCTACACCAGGGCTGGGGCCGAGGTGCCCTCGGCCTCTTATCTCTACTTCCTCCGCCGGGCAGACTGCCTTCCAGCGCCCCAGCCCCCTGGCAGGGCTGAATGAGGAACTGAGGAATGTGTCTGGGACGTGAGCTCCCCATTTGCCCTTGGCCTGCAGCTCCCCGCGTGCCTTTAAATTAAATGAGTTAACAGAGCAAGGCTGAGTCCTTGGGATGGGATGCTTCTCCAGGATGTGGGGTGCAGAGAGTAGGGGTCAGCTGGGCGTGGCGGCTCACGCCTGAAATCCCACTACTTTGGGAGGTGAAGGCAAGAGGATTGCCTGAGTCCAGGGGTTCTAGACCCGATTGGGCAACTTGGCGAGACCTCATCTCTACAATAAATCAAAAAAACTAGCTGGGCGTGGTGGCACATGCCTGTAGTTCCAGCTACTTGGAAGGCTGAGGTGGAAGGATCGCCTGAGTCCAGCAGGTCGAGGCTGCGGTGGCCATGTGTGTGTCGCTGCACTCCAGCTCCAACTCAAAAAAAAAAAGAGGAAGGGTCTCAATCTCCTCTTCAGATGCTGTCTTCCAGGGGAGGCAAGGAAGGCTCTGCTTTTTATCAAGGGATTGCTCCTTGCCAGGCCCCTGTGCTAAGTGTGTTCCATGCTATACCTCATTTCATGATCACAACTCTGTGAAGTTGATATTATCCCTACTTTACAGATGAACAAACTGAGCCACATACTGCGAGTGTCACTTGCCTTAGGTCAAACAGCTAGGGAGGGCCAGAGCCCGGATTTGAATCTGAGTCTGACATACTCCAAAGTCCATGATCACCTCTCCTGATTACCCTCTTTTTGCCTCAGTTCTCTTATCTGCTAAATGTAGATATTAATAGTTATAACCCTACAGGGTTTTTGTTAAGAGTCAAATGGAAAGCAACTTAAAGAACACTTAATGCAGTTCCCAACACCTGTAAGGCAGCGTTGATTCTGGAAACAATCTTTATGTATGAGTAAATAGTAATCATCGTAACAACTGCCACTTACTGAATGACCATTATTTGGCAAGTGCTAAACACTGGCATCAGTTGGGACAGATTAGATGATCTTACAGTAACAAACAAGTCCCTAACCTCAGTGGTTTAAAACAACAAAGTTGTATTAGTCAACACCACAATAATGCTGTGTAAAAAATCATCCCCAAGCCGGGCTCGGTGGCTCAGCCTGTAATCTCGCGCCTTTGGGAGACTGAGGTGAGTGGATTGCCTGAGCCCGCGGGTTCGAGACCCGCCTGGGCAGGCGAGACCTCATCTCTACAATAAAATCAAAAAATTAGCCGTGCGTGGTAGCACGTGCCTGTAATTCCGGCTCCTCGGAAGGCTGAGGCGGAAGGATCTCCGGAGCCCAGCAGGTCGAGGCCAGTCTGGGCAACAGAGTGAGACTCTAACTCAAAAAAAAAAAAAAATCATCCCCAAACTGATGTTTATCACAACACACATTCTTCCTTCTAAGGGTTTCTGGGATCAGTTTCTGGGATCAGTGGCTTCCTTCTAAGGGTTTCTGGCAGCTCACAGAAGCACAAAAGCCAAGTGCATTTACATTAAGGTAAGCCCAATGATTAAGTCAAGCATATGGCCAAACCCCACAACAATGGAGCAGAGAAATGTATTTCCCTTCCGGTGGGAGGGAAAGAAGTGGAAATTTGCTGAATGAGTGACCATTCACCAAAGGTTAATTTCTCCCTCACCCTACATGTTTAGCACCATCCACAGGGCATTCTGTTCATCATCAAGCAGCCACCAACTCAAACACGGCTCGTTTCTATGCCACAGGAAGTCTCCCATGGGCAGTTACATGTTGTGACCCAGAAGTGACTTAGCACAAGTCACTGGATGGAGCTAGTCACGTGGCCCTCCCCAACCACACAGGGACCAGCATGTGCAATAGTATCCCACAGTCAGAGTCGGACATGTTTTATAAACCAGCACGAATGACACAGTGGCCTCCCCTTAGAGGTTGTTTCTCGTTTTATCTCTACAACTCTGTGTGACAGGCACTATTAATCTCATCTTTGCTTTCTGGAGATGAATCTGAGGCTCAGAGAAAGGCTGCTCCACTGGAGGTCACACCATGAAAAGTGGCAGAGCTTAAGATTTCAATCATTGGGTCATGTTGAGGGAGAGAAAAAGACTACATCACACACAGAACAAGTCTATATCAGTTTCTTTTGCTGCATAAAAAGTGACTCTAAAATTTAGGGGCTTAGAACAATCACATTTTATTTAGCTCATAATCCTATGGGTTGGCAACTTGGTCTAGGATCAGCTGGGCAGTTCTGCTGGTCTCAGCTGCCAGTCTGCTAGGCAGGTGTTCCAGAAGGTTGGCTGGCTGTGGGTTGTGGGTCAAGGATGACTAAGCCAGATGTCTCTTTATCACCCAGCAGGTTAGCCTGGGTTTCTCGATGTGGCAGTAGTCCCAAGAGCACCAAGAGAGGAAATCCCAGTGCATGCACACTTTTCAAACCCCTGCTCACATTACGTTTGCTGTTGTCCCAGTGGCCAAAGCAAATCACATGGTCAAGTCTAGAGTTAGGATGAAAGGGACAATCCAAGGGTATGGCTACAGTTAGGTGAAACAAATTGGGGGGTGCAAGCTCATTTCAGAGTGAGGTGCTTCATCATCACAAACTCCCAATGTCTAAACAGTTACTATGTCCACCTGCACACCTTCCAGCGTGGCAAAACTCAGATGCAGATCATCTCTTGACCCCACTCCAAGGAATTCTTTCCTGGACAGATTCCCCACCCTTCCTCTCTATCCCAGGACCTGGGACCCCCACCCTCAGCTTCTTCCTCCCTCAGACCCTGAAGCCTAGGATTCCAGCCCTGTTGAAACCCCAAGCATTACTTTGGAAGGCCAAAGTAGGAGAATCTCTTAAGCCCAGGAATTCAAGACCAGCCTGGGTAACATAGTGAGACCTCATCTCTATAAAATATCAAAAACTTAGTTGGGTGTGGTGGTACACACTTTTAGTCTCAGCTACTCAGGAGGCTGTGGATCACCTAAGCCCAGGACGTCAAGGCTGTGGTGAGCCATGATTGTGCTACCGTACTCCAGCCTGGGCAGCAGAGTGAGACTCAAAAAAAAAAAAAAAACTTAAGCATCTTTATTTTTCTTTCAAACCCCCAAAAAACAGACAATGGGATTTCTACTCAATTTTATTCATTCTTCTAAAAAGCACCACAAGCTGACCACACCCTTAATGTGTCCTTCGTGGTTCCCCACCTCAATGGACACAATTCCTTTCATCATCAAGAAATGTATGAAACTCAGCTATAGTGATGAGATTGTCTTGTACATTCACCCAGGTTTTTGTGCCTGTTTTGCTTCTGACAGTAACACCAAGATTCATCATACATTTCCTTGAATTCCTGCCTTCATGGGTCTTTTGGCTTTATGGGGCCATGCACACAGACCTCCATAGCAGCCAGTGATCCAGCCACAGGGAATCTTTTTGCTTGGATGCACCCAGAGACAGATGCCTTACTAGCAATCTTCACAAAGTAAAACTCAATCCCACCAAAAGTCATGATTTAAAAGGCAACCACCCCAAAAAGTAGTCATGACACTCAAAGATGCCAATATATACAACTATATAAACACAACCAGCACTCTTCAATGGGCACAGACATACACAAACACAATTGTCTTCTCAGTTATGGCCTCTGGTGTGATTTCTGCAGGCATGAGGGAATTTAGACCAGCAAAGCATGCGGCAGCATTGTCAGATGGGATGGAATCAAAGATGATGTCAAAGTGGCAGGAAAAAGAGGACCCTCTGTGAACAAAGGTATCAGGGTGAGACAGAGGTACCCAGATGAGTCGTCTTGTTGCTACCCAGGCCTGACAGTGTGTGGGTAGGGATAGGGGCTGTGGAACTCATGTTTGAGCCCCCAGTGTGCTCGGCTGCTCGGGAAAGGATGTGGTATGTTTTGTGTGTGTGTGTGTGTGTGGTATGTTGTGTGTGTGTGTGTGTGTGTGTTTGCGCACATGCACATGTGTCCATACATACACTGAATTCTCACCATAACCATGTGAGGTAGATGCCATCTGCTGAGTGACCTGCCCAAGATCACCCACAGTCAGGACTGTCAGACCCATTCTATGCTAATAGAATGTCCTGTGGCATTCTATATCTGTGGGTCCCATACGCCAGCCACTAACTACACGTGACTATGGGGCACTTGAAATGTTGCCTAGGCTGGTCTCAAACTTCAGGCTCAAGCAATCCTCTTGCCTCAGCCTTCCTCAGTGCTAGGATTATAGGCATGAGCCACTGCACCTGGCCTTATTTACTTTTTATGAAAAAACTGATACTCATCTCAGTTACTGGAAAAGAATTAAATCCCAACAAGTTGGGAATCTACTTCTCCAACTGTGAATTTTGTGAAATCAAAATAGAGGCCAAACACTTCCAATGAAAATTTATCTAAATTGAGATGTGATGTAAGTGTAAAATACACACCAAGGTTTGAAGACTTAACATAAAAGAATGTAAAATGACTCATTAATTTAAAATATATTAATTACATGTTGAATAACATTTCTTTTTTAATTTTTAAAATAGAAACAGGGTCTTGGCCAGAAACAGTGGCTCAAGTCTATCATCCTAGCACTTTGGGAGGCTGAGGCGAGAAGACTGCCTGAGTCCAGGGGTTCGAGACCAGCCTGGGCAACTTGGTGAGACCTTCTCTTTACAATAAATCAAAAAAATTAGCTGGGGGTGGTGGCATGCACTTGTAGTTCCAGCTACTTAGAAGGCTGAGGCGGAAGGATCACCTGAGCCTAGCAGGTCAAGGATACCATGGCCGTGAACATGCCACTGCACTCCAGCCTGGGCAATGGAGTGAGACTCCTACTCAAAACAAAAACAAAAACAAAAATAGGGTCTTGCTATATTGCAAATGCTATTCTCCAACTTCTGGCCCCAAGTGATCCTCCCATCTTAGCCTCCCAAAGTACTGGGATTACAGGTATGAGCCACAGTGCCCGGTGAATATTTTAAATATGCTGGGTTAAAGCACATTAAGATGAGTTTAACCTGTTTCCTTTTACTTTCTCAA